TGTATTGCACGTTTTGAGTGTTGCTTGGAATCATATTTAGAATTGGTTGTTGCACGTCAATTGTTGCCCAAACTCGCACGACGTTTGTAGATCTAAATCGCACGTTCTTTCTTGTGGTAAGGGAGCGATGAGTGTAAACAATGTGTCTAATGATGGTGCCGAGGTCGGATCTAGCCAAAACGATATCTTCCGAGCCCTTAAACAGATTATGGATAGGCTAGACAAGATAGAGGAGTCGAGGCCTCAAGTGAGACCGGGTAAATAGACTATGATGAAACCTTTTCACCAGTTGTGATGCTTAAATCCATACGGATTCTGCTGGCCATAGCTGCGTATTATGACTACGAGATATGACAGATGGACGTCAAGACCGCATTCCTTAACGGGGATTTGCTCGAGGATGTGTACATGACACAACCCGAGGGTTTTGTCGATCCTAAGAGTCCGAGGAAGGTGTGTAAGCTTCAGAGATCCATTTATGGACTGAAGTAGGCTTCGAGGAGCTGGAATCTTCGATTTGACGAGGCAGTCAAAACGTTTGGCTTCCTGCAAAACGAAGATGAGTCATGTGTTTACAAGAAGGTCAGTGGGAGCGCAGTGGTCTTCCTTGTACTTTATGTGGATGATATATTGCTCATCGGAAATGATGTTCCTACTTTTCAAGGAGTAAAATCCTGGCTAGGATCAGTCTTTTCGATGAAGGACTTAGGAGAAGCCGCCTATATTCTAGGAACTAAGATCTATAGAGATAGATCGAGGAGGTTTCTTGGTCTAAGTCAGAGTACATACATTGACAAGGTCTTGAATCGGTTCAAGATGCAAGACTCCAAGAGGGGTGCCTTGCCAATGGGACATGGCGTGGCTCTTAGCAAGACCCAGTGTCCAAAGACACAGGATGAGCAAGAGCGCATGAGTAGGATTCCATATGCCTCGGCAATTGGATCCATCATGTACGCCATGTTGTGTACTCGCCCGGATGTATCATATGCATTAAGCATGACTAGTAGATATCAATCTACACCAGGTGAGGCTCACTGGATTGCGGTCAAGAACATCCTTAAGTACTTGAGAAGGACTAAGGATTTGTTCTTGGTGTATGGCGGATTGGAAGACGAGCTCGCTATAAGTGGTTATACCGATGCTAGTTTCCAAACCGACAGAGATGACTTCAGATCGCAGTCAGGTTATGTTTTCTGCCTGAACGGTGGGGCTATCAGTTGGAAGAGTTTCAAACAGCCAACCGTTGCAGATTCGACTACAGAAGCCGAGTACATAGCAGCATCGGATGCAGCTAAGGAAGCTGTTTGGATCAGGAAATTCGTGGGAGACCTGGGCGTCGTTCTTAGCATTGCAGATCCCATTGAGTTGTATTGTGACAACAATGGTGCGATTGCGCAAGCTAAGGAACCCCGGTCACACCAGAGATCCAAACACATACTCAGGCGATTTCACTTGATCAGAGAAATCATCGACATAGAAGACGTGAAGATAAGCAGTGTCGACGAATGATAATATTGCCGACCCATTGACAAAGCCTCTCCCTTCGTCAAAACAAGATGGTCATGTTAAGGGTATGGGGATTAGATGCTTGTAGGATAGATCATAGAGCATAGTGGGAGATTGATGTAACCTCCGAACTCGTGGATATAGGCTGGCCCGAACAACGCAATCACCGGCACAAGTATTGGCACTCGAACTCACGTGTTTCGGGTAAGGATGTTGGATGGAGGGGGATGGGAATGTTAGCTCAATCACCGGCCTTGTGAGGCACTCGAATTCAAGCTAAGATTCAGTGGATGAGATGGAGATAAGGAGGAAAGGTTTTCAGACACACCGAAAGCTGGCTCGGACACAACGAAGCCCTTCGTCGGACACACCAACGGGGATAACGGTTTGGAGATTCAAACTCAACAAACACAGCAAGCTTAAGCTCGAAAATGGCAATAGATTTCTTAGGTAATGAGTTCTGAAAACTTACAAGGATAAATAGCAATCTCAAAACATTTCCAACAGCTCTTAGCATTCAAAGCTAGATAAGCATGCAAGCTAGGTAATTAATGCTCTCTTAAGTACACAATATAGCTGTTGGAAAATGACATAATCTAATGTGTTTCTTCAGCAACATCATGGACCGAAATCTTCATTAAGTGGCGTGTATGGGCTGCTCCAAGATGGGCTGGGCTCATGTCCTTGGAGTGAAGTTCGTCCAGCATGTCGGAGACGAATAAGGTGATGCGTTCGCGAAGGGCACGCGCCTTGGCTCGAGTGAGGGGTGGATCGGGCCTATGGTTTGGGCGTGTATGCCTTGGCCTTGGCTCAACTAGAAGTTCCCCATCACTATTGAAGATATGATCGGCATTAGGCAGCTCCTTGCGTTCCAAGCTATCCCGCTCCCGCTCCGTGCACTCCAAGCTATCTTGCTCCCGTTCCGTGCGTTCCAACTCTTTGTCCGTGCGTCCGGTCTCTATGTCCTCATCATTCCCTCCCTCTTGAGAAGTTTTCGCCCACGAAAATTCATGACCTGCATCAAAAGGAAGTAAATCAGCAACGTTAAAAGAACTAGACACGTTATACTCACCTGGAAGTTCGAGTCGGTAGGCGTTGTCATTGATGCGCTCGATAACTCGGAAAGGACCATCTCCTCTGGGCGCAAGTTTGGACTTGCGTTTATCAGGAAAACGCTCGGGCCTAAAGTGTAGCCAAACCCAGTCTCCCTCCTTAAACGTCATTGCTTTCCGGCCTTTGTTAGCTTGACGGATGTATTGCTCCGTCCTTCGAGCAATATTTTCCCGGACCTTTTGATGGAGTTGCTTGATGAACTCAGCCTTCTTTTCTCCATCTAAGTTTACTAACTCATCGTTAGGTAGTGCAATAAGGTCCATAGGCGTGATTGGGTTGAAACCGTAGACGGTCTCAAATGGCGAATGCTTAGTCGCGGAGTGTGAGGCCCGATTATAGGCGAACTCGACATGTGGAATGCAGTCAACCCAATTGCCTAGATTTTTACCGATGGTGGCGCGCAGGAGTGTAGACAAGGTACGATTCACGACCTCGGTTTGTCCATCCGTCTGTGGATGACAAGTAGTCGAGAAGACGAGCTTAGTGCCGATCCTTTTCCATAAGGTCCGCCAAAAATGGCTGAGGAATTTAGAATCAGACACTATTGTCTTAGGAATACCGTGTAGCCTTACGACCTCCTTAAAGAATAGGTCGGCTATGTGCTTGGCATCATCCGTTTTAGCACACGGAATGAAATGAGCCATTTTGGAAAACCGATCGACCACTACAAAGATGGAGTCCTTATGTTGGATCTTAGGAAGTCCTAGGACAAAATCCATTGATATGTCTATCCATGGCTGCGTAGGGATTGGTAATGGCATATAAAGTCCATGAGGTTGTACTTTTGACTTAGCTCGGTGGCACTCGACACACTTAGCACAAAACCTCCTAACGTCTCGCTTAAGGTGCGGCCAAAAGAAATGCTCTTGCACGATGGACAACGTCTTATCTACTCCGAAATGGCCAGCTAAGGCACCACCATGAGCCTCACGGAGTATCACATCTCGCATTGATCCTTGCGGGATGCATAACCTCTTATCTCGAAAGAGATATCCATCATGTAAGTAAAATGGTCCATAAGCACCGTTCCTACATTCTTCTATGATGGATTTGAAATCGTGATCGGTCGAATACATTCTTCTATGATGGGTTTGAAATCGTGATCGGTCGAATACTGCTCCTTAAGGATTTCAAATCCTAGCATCCGAACCTCCATGACTGATATCAAAGCATGTCGTCGAGACAATGCGTCGGCTACGACATTGTCTTTTCCCTTCTTGTATTTTATGATGTAAGGGAATGTCTCGATGAACTCCAACCACTTAGCATGTCTTCGCTTAAGTGTGGTCTGACCCTTAAGGTGTTTCAGTGTTTCGTGATCCGAATGCACACGAATTCCTTAGCCAACAAGTAATGTTGCCAAGTCTCTAAAGCTCTTACCAAGGCGTATAACTCCTTATCGTATGTGGGATAATTAAGTGTGGCCCCACTGAGTTTCTCACTAAAATACGCTATGGGCCTCTTTTCTTGCATTAGGACAGCTCCTATACCAATCCCCGATGCGTCGCACTCTATCTCAAAGGTTTTGTCGAAGTTCGGGAGAACTAAGACGGGTGCGCTAGTGAGGTTGTCCTTTAGAGCTTTAAATGCTTTCTCTTGTGCTTCTCCCCATTCAAATGTCACATCCTTCTTTATGACCGCGATGAGGGGAGCTGCTAGACTACTAAAGTCTCGCACAAATCGACGGTAGAAACTAGCCAAACCGTGAAAACTACGCACTTGTCCTATCGTGGTAGGAGTCGGCCAATCTTTAATAGCTTTGATCTTTTCCTCGTCGACTCTTAACCCCTTTGAGCTGACCACGAAGCCTAAGAATACGATTTCGTCTGTGCAAAACGAACATTTCTTCAAGTTTGCGTATAGGCTTTCTGTTCTAAGTGTGGGCATTACTTGTTCGAGGTGGGAAACATGGTCCTCCTCGCTTCTACTGTAGATGAGGATGTCATCAAAATACACCACCACGAACTTTCCTATGAAGGTTCTCAGAACATGGTTCATGAGCCGCATGAATGTGCTCGGGGCATTAGTTAGCCCGAAAGGCATAACAAGCCATTCATAAAGACCTTGCTTGGTCTTGAAGGCGGTTTTCCATTCGTCGCCTTCTCTCATCCTTACTTGATGATAACCACTCTTTAGATCGATCTTCGAAAAGATTGTGGCTCCACTCAATTCATCAAGCATATCGTCTAGCCTAGGTATGGGATGCCTATACTTAACCGTTATATTGTTTATTGCTCAGCAATCCACACACATGCGCCAAGTTCCATCTTTCTTTGGCACTAAAAGTACCGGAACAGCACACGGACTAAGGCTTTCTCGGATGTAACCTTTGCTCATGAGCTCTTGGATTTGCTTTTCGAGCTCTTTAGTTTCCTCGGGGTTCATCCTATAGGCTGGTCGGTTAGGCAAAGGTGACCGGGTACTAGATCAATTTGGTGCTCTATCCCTCGTATCGGGGGAAGTCCAGCCGGTATCTCGTCGGGAAAAATGTCCTTAAACTGCTCAAGAAGTCGGCTTATAGAAGGGCTATCATGGGACGTTTCGGTCCTTATGCTCATGAGGTCCTTGAAGACTAAAAGAAGGACATTTTGTTCTTGTCGAATAGCCTTACCGACTTGACTAGCTGTGAGATAGAAATTAGCCTTCTTTGACTCGCTTTCTTTAGCTAGTTTGAGCTGCATCTCATGCACTTGAGATGGACTAAGAGGTGCTAGTACAACCTTCCTTTTGTTATGAACAAAGGAATATTGGTTGACTCGTCCGTCATGTATCACCTCTCTATCAAATTGCCATGGTCGTCCTAAAAGGATATGACCGGCTTGCATAGGTACAATGTCGCAAAGGACTTCGTCTTGGTACCTACCTATGCTGAACGGAATCTTGACCCTCTCGGTCACTTTAATTTCTCCGCTGTTGTTAAGCCATTGCAGCTTATATGGGTGCGGGTGTTTCTCAGTGGTTAGACCGAGCTTCTTGACCATGTAGGCACTTGCGACATTTGTACATGATCCAC